ATTACTGACAGACCTGTTGAATCGAGCGATCATTTATCCCTTGTACAATATTCATATTGACCCATTTGAAATTTTTAACAGAAAAACAAACAAACAAACAAACAAAGAAAAACACAAAACACAAGTCCAGAGGGCAAAACAGATAAACACTTCCATGTCACATTACAGAATCTTCCACAATCAGTGTGACCAAAAGGTTGAGCTGTCAGAGGACTCTAGAACTCATATTTGAAGAGAGTCAGGCATACAGTGACATGGAAGAGGAAGATGTCTCACAATAGGAGGATAATTTAGAAATAATTTCATTCTGGTTCTGAAAGTAAATCTAAAGGTGGCCGTCACTTGGAATCCCTCAGTGACAGAGTCCCTGCTCAGCTGCTAACATAAGACGAATTTTACCAGGACACACATGTTTGCAGCAAGTCATTTTCAAGATATCAAGTCAATCAGAAAATTATTCTGGATATAACCAGTCCTGAGGTGAAACTTATTTTCAGTGACCAGCAGAAAAAACATCATGAAGACATCACACATTTGTAGGCCTACATTGGGATCCTCATCCTTGGTGTATACAGGTCAAGAGGGGAGTTGACTGAAAGTCCGAGGGATGCTGAGACATGGAGAGAAATTTTTAGAGCTACAATGTCTGTGAAGAGCTTTCACATGAAAGCTCTCAAGGATCATCAGATTTGATTATCCTGAATCAAGACATGTTAGAAGGCAGTCTGCACTGTGTGGGACTAGTGGGTGGACCGGGTTCCCCTTTTATACTAACACTAACTACTGATCTTATCTATTTCTGATTTTATCTGTTTTGATTTTATATACTGTTTTGTTTGTTTGTTAAGCTTAAATTTCAAAACTTTAACTACTGATTTTATCTACTGTTCTGATTTTATCTGTTTTGATTTTATATACTGTTTTATTTGTTTGTTTGTTTGTTAAGTGGGTTTAGAGCTCTGGGTAGCTCCCCAGCTGGGTCTAGACTGGGTCTAGAGAGTATTTTAAATTCAGGGAATTTAAAATAGAAAGTAGCTCGTCCACAGAAGGACTGGTAGCTCCCCTTACGATAAGGGTTCAGATCGCGCGAACAGGTGTGAAATGTGTGTGTTTAGTTAGTTTGTTTGTTTGCTTGTTTTAATCAATTTTAAATCATGCTTTTTATTTGCTTTTGTTTCTAATGTCTCTGTAAAGCACTTTGAATCACCTTGTTGTTGAATTGTGCTATACAAATAAATTTGCCTTGCCTTGCCTTGCCTTTTATGACACTGGGCAAAGTGTAACTGTGGACGATTCGCCTGTGGGTTAGAGTTTGCCTCCATTTCAGGCAGTGTATCCCATCCAGACCAGCAATGGCATGACACTTTGGCCTGTATGTGATCTTGCTTCATTTTATGTATGGAACATGTAAATTTATACAGAGAAGCCAGAAAGAGGAGCTGCTGAAAGAAACCAGGGGACACAAGTGTGACTGATAAGATTTAAACTGCAGGGCTAAGTACGCCAAGGGAGTCAAGCTGGGTGACTCATCCACACCAGCTCCAGAACCTCATAGGATCAGGGATTAGAAGTTCTTCCACAAAGAGCCAAACGAGATTTCCAGTACATGGGTTTGTAGACAAAACCCATGTAGCTCTGCTATCTGTTTTTTCATCAGTTCAGTCTCTAGTTCAGTCTCCTGTGTTGCTGTCTGCTCAGTCTCTAATTCAGTCTCCTGCTCAGTCGCCCTTAGCTCAGTCTCCTGCTCTGTTGTCTGCAGTTCAGTTACCTGCTCAGGTTGCAGTTCAACCATTAGCTCTGCTTTCTCCTCAGTATGCAGTTCAACCTTCTCCCTAGTGTGCAGCTCAACCATTAGCACAGCCTGCAGTTCAATCAGTAGCTCAGCTATTTACTCAACCGTCAGTTCGGCCATCAGTTCAGCTACCCATACAGCCAGGGGTCCCCATACCTTCTGGCCCTGCATCTGCTGGAGGCTCAGGTTAGCCAAACCAGCACTCCGTGGCTCCCACACCGGCATCTGCCTCATCCACTGGGGCTTCTAGAGAGCCCAGCCAGCATTTCCTTGTGTCCGCTTGGGGTTCTGGAGGGTCCGAGGGGCCCATTCAGCCATCTGCCATCTGGATCATTTCAGCCATCTTTGGTCCCCACTGGAGGGTCCAGTGCATCCATCCAGCCTGCTCTCTAGTGTGTGCAATAGTCATCTGATTTTGACAGCTTGTTCAAATCACAACCTCTGGGTGCATTTGGGTCCTTTCTTCACCTCCACATGGCTTGCCTCGTCAGCCGTGACAGTGTCAAGTCCGCGTCTTTGTAAATGTTGCATGTTTCATGTTTTATTTTGACAGTTCCAAGTCCTGTGTTCAGTGTTTTCAGTTTTGTATCAATGGCTGTATCCCAATTCAGGGTCTGCAGCCTTAAAGTACGCAGCCTCAACGATCCTCAAGGGCCGCGTACTTAAAGACCGCTAAGGCCGGAAGTGCGAGGCTTGTGATATGGGACGGTCTAGCCTCCGTTGCGCTGCCCAGGTTGCCTAGCAACCATGATACTAACAGCTGGAAATGTTTCATACAGCTTTGTTTGACAGAAATGAAGGAGAAAATCTTTTGTTCATTTGTTTGTTTGTTTCTACATGAGCTTTGATCATTCTCTGTAAGATTAAGCTCAGCTATTGAACAGCGTATATTTTAAAGTAAAGGCTGTAAAACCAAGTTAGTACAAACGTCACTTATGTCACATAACTTTGCCGACATGTGGCCAACAGTCATGTTTTGATGTTCTTCGTTATTAAACATTTGCACATAAATAAGTGACATGATATTCATCCGCCGTTTTTTTTTCGGCAAAATTATCCACACCCACCTCTGCGCTATGCATTCTGGGATATGTTGGGCCACGAAGTCTACACCACCACGTCCTTAAAATTCAGGGAAATGAAGGACGCATTTGAGGGCCGCATTTCGAGCAGCCTTTGAATTGGGACAGCCTTCGTCGCGTCGCTGTGACGTAATCGGCCTTAAAATGCGGCCTTTAAGGCTGCAGACCCTGAATTGGGATACAGCCTGGGTCTCAGTATTTGCCATTGGTTCCAGCTGTGTTTCGCTCCTGTATCCCATTCCCTCATTATCCTCTGTGCATTTAAGCCCTATGGGCCCCTAGTCACATCTTTGCACATTGCTGTGCGTTTTTCCCAGGCTTCTGGTTTCTACTTTCCTACGTTCTTAACTTCCCAGTTTTTTTAGATTTGTTTTCTTATTCCCGGTTTTGTATTATTTAAATTTTGATAGAGCATTAAAGCTGCCTCCGTGAGTTCACTCCTGCTCCAGCCTGCCACAGCGCTCTATATCACAACTAAGAGTCACCTCTGTTGCGGAGGATAAATTCTTTTGTGTTATCAGCCTCAGGAAGCAAAAGTTAAGGGCATCTCAGATTAAAGCCCAGATAAATGCCACACAGAGTTCCAGTAGCAGACATTTCTCTACATCCACTCTTCAGAGGAGACTGTGCTAATCAGGCCTTTATGGATCCTGCAGTGATATCCTATCCCATCCAGTTTGCGTTTAGTTGGACCATCATTTATTTTTCAACAGGACAATGACCCCAAACACACCTCCAGGCTGTGTAAAGGGCAATATGACCAAGAAGGAGAGCAATACCTATCCATCGAAATCTTGAGGGGGGGTGTCAACGTAATTGCACATGAAAATAAAGTGGCAGGAGTGAGCAGCAGTTCAAGTTCATGTGCAGTACAAGATTAAAAGTGGCAGTCAGTATAGTATTGCACAGAGTATGAGTTTTTGTGAATATTGATAAAAGTGAAGTGAACAGTGCAGATTGTAGAGTGTACTTGAACAACTGTAAGACAGTATCTGTTTGCATCCTGTGAAGTGAGGTGTGTTTTCAGGTGTTGAGGTGTCGAATGGCTCGATGGTAAAAACAGTTTTTAAGTCTTGTAGTCCAAGCAGACTGGCGCCTGTAACATCTGCCAGATGGTAACATGGAAAACAGCTGGCGTGCTGGGTGGCTGTGGTCCTTGATGATGCTGTGTGCTTTACAGAGGCACCGCTGAAGATAAATGCCCTGAATGGCAGGAAGCCTCATGCCAGTGATGTTCTCTGCTGCCTTCACCACGTTCTGTAGTGATTTCTGGTTGCTGGCAGAGCAACTCCCATACCAAACTGCGATGCAGCTCGTCAGCAAGCTCTCAATTGCACACCTGTACTTCCTGAGGAGGCTGAGGAAGTTTGGCATGAATGCCAACATGATCTCAAACTTCTACAGGTGTTACAGTTGCTGGCGAGCTTTTCAGATTACAGTGTCTGTGTGAAGGTTCCAGGAGAGATCCTCAGTGATGTTGACTCCAAGGAATCTGAAGTTGCTTACCCTTTCGACCTTGACAACGTTGATGTGGATGGGCCAGTGTTCCCCGACTGGTGATTTCCGGTAGTCCACTATCATTTCCCTTGTTTTGCTGACATTGAGAGACAGGTTATTATCCAGACACCACTTGTACAGTGCCATCACCTACTCTCAATAGTGCAGTCTCATCATTGTTCATGATGAGGCCTATGATGGTTGTATCATCCACAAACTTGATTAGGGTGTTGGACCTATGTTTAGCGACACAGTCGTGTGTGAACAAGGAATATAGCAGGGGCTCAGCACACATCACTGTGATGTTCGTGTATTTAAGATGAGTAGAGAAGAATTGTGACTACCACATGAAGCCAAGAGTGTGCAAAGCAGTAATTAAAGTAATTCAAGCTATAAAACATATTTTGAGTTATTTCACACGTTTTTTTAAAAAAACTATGTGATTCCCTATGTGTTCATTGAGAATAATCTACAATGTAAATAGTAATGAAAGTAAAGAAAAAACATTAAACGAGAATTTGTGTCCAAACCTTTGACTGGCAGTGTATATTTTGTATAAAGCTTTTCTGTTTACACAATAATATAATTAAGATTAAAATATATATCAGTGGAAAAGTTTTAATCCTGACCTGAGAGTTTCCAGTGTACAGTGAGGACTCTGCAGTGAAACAGACAGACACTTCACTCCTGAATCCTGCAGGCTATTGTTATTAAGGTCAAGTTCTTTCAGACTAGAGGACTGAGAGCTGAGAGCTGAGGACAGAGCTTCACAGCTTCTCTCTGAGAGGTTACAATGACTCAGCCTGGGGAAAAAATAAAAGCAAACAATAAAGAAATACTGGTGTTCAAATGCCTTACTAAGATGTAACAACACATGAATGACATCAGATTTTTTGGTTGTTATTTGTCAACTGATGTAAAATAAAATATCATTTGATCTGACCTCAGCATGTTCAGTGTACATTGTGGACTTTCCAGTCCAGAAGACAGAAGTTTCACTTCTGAATCCCAAATGTTGTTGCAGCTCAGGTCCAGCTCTCTCAGACGAGAGGAGCAGAGAACTGAGGACAGAGCTTCAAAACTTTTCACTGAGAGGTTACATTGACTCAGTCTGAAAAATAAGACAAACATTAAAACCAATGCTTGTGTAAAAGTGTGATCAGGAGTCATTAAGTTTGATAACATCCAATACAATTTTTTCAGGAACCCATAATTCCTTAGTAATATATAACAATACATGAATTAAATTCACTTGTTTTGGCTAAAATATTTAATTGGTTAATTTTGTCAACTGATGAAAAATAAAATATCATTTGAACTGACCTCAGTGTGTTCAGTTTACATTGTGGATTCTTCAGTCCAGAAGATAGAAACTCCAGTTCTGAATTCTCCAGGCTGTTGTAGCTCAGGTCCAGCTCTATCATGCTAGAACACTGGGAGCCAAGAACTGACGACAGAGCTTTATAGACTCTCTCTGAGAGGTTACAGTGAGTCAGCCTGAAAACAACGAACAATAAGCAATATTTGTTATAAAAATTATATCAGTTCACATATTATAATCAGTCAAAGAAAAATGCCAGTGAGCAATAAAATTCATGGTTAATCAATAAGCTAAACATCTAAAACAAAAAACACTGTGTGTTCAGGATGGACAGGGAGTCCAGCAAGTGTAGATTCAGTCTAGATTGTAGAAAGTTATTCTTATTGTTACAGACTGACATGAATCTTTTTAACTTCCAATTAAGCGCAAAGAAGGAAGCATCAGTAGTAATAAGAAACCTTGATTTACATACTTGTTCAAGCTAAACATTTCTTTTTTTTTTTCCTCTTTGCTTTAAGAAATGCAAAAATACAAAATACTCACTGTACATGTGGTCTGTATTGCTTGGAACTAAGGTGGAGTAAACAACATCATAGCTTTACATAATTTGCTTTATGGCTGGATTGATTTAAAACTCCAAAAGGTTGTGAGTCTACCAGACTTACAAGTATTGCTTAAGTGGGGAAAAAAAAAAAGGCATGAACACTGCCAGGACTCAGAAAAGCTTCAGTCTATTTACACCTACAAGCCAGTGGACACTCAATGATGAGGATGTACACATCAAGGACACGGAGGAACACTGTATCATGGTCCTGAGTCCATGAACTCAGTGATTTTGGTTTTGTATATTATTATTATTATTATTATTATTATTATTATTATTATTATTATTATTATCATCATTATTATTATTATGGTTTCGTGAACTGGCATTCTGACTTTTGTTTTTGCTCCCTCTGTAGGTCGCTGATGTTAGTGTTTCCCCTGTCTCATAAGATCCAGCTGTTACCCCCACCTGTGTGTAATTTCCCTGTGTTCCTCAGTGTGTACTTAGGTTATGTGAACTCGTGTGCTGATTGCTGGTCTGTCTGTAAATCTACCGTGTGTTCTCCCTGACGTCATCCTTCATGTACCTTCGCTCTCCATCCTTCGTGTTCAGGTTTGCTTTTTAGTTGTTTAGTTTCTCCCAGTTCAGGTTACTTTTGGTTCCATTTTGCCATCTTCGCATTGTGTTTTGTTTTGCAATAAACCTCCCTGGCATATCAGCAAGTGCCTGCATTTGGGTCCTCATTTATTCCTCCACACGGCTCACTCTGTTAACCGTGACACACTGGTTTGAGCACGGAGTCAAGGAGGCCATTTGCATGAAAAGGGAAAGACCAAATCTGAATCGAGGAAGGGCCTAACAGTACATCTGTCAGTGGGCGATCGTGGCTCAAGAGTTGGGAGGTCGCCTTGTAATCGGAAGGTTGCCGGTTCGAGCCCCGGCTTGGACAGTCTCGGCCGTTGTGTCCTTGGGCAAGACACTTCACCCGTTGCCTACTGGTGGTGGTCAGAGGGCCCGGTGGCGCCAGTGTCCGGCAGCCTCGCCTCTGTCAGTGCGCCCCAGGGTGGCTGTGGCTACAATGTAGCTTGCCATCACCAGTGTGTGAATGTGTGCGTGAATGGGTGGATGACTGGATATGTAAAGCGCTTTGGGGTCCTTAGGGACTAGTAAAAGCGCTGTATAAATACAGGCCATTTACCATTTACCATCTGTCACCATCTTACAATGCTGTGATTGCAGCAGTTATCCATCTCTATATAAATGGAACCAATTGCCATAGATCAATGCTCATGACAACTTGCATATTAACAATCATGCAACTGACTTCACAGCCATTAAGTGTGCTAGTTTAAGTCACTATGGAAAGGTACTATTTATAAGGTTGGCGAAACCTGTAGTCAGCCAAGACTGAAGAAGTCACTTGGATGTCAAAACATTTCTCCCGCTGAAAATCCTACGTCCAGATGAACAGAATAAACTTTCTGAGGTTTCTTTACCTGAATGAATGAGCATGCCTCAAGATAGATAAACACTGACTGAGGAAGGATCTACTGTACAGACAAACAAACAAACAAACAAACCCTTCAGCTCTGTGTTATTCACAACTTTTTGTTGGGAAGATGAAAAGATAGGTGAGTGAGAACTGACAATGACAGAAAGTTGTTTGTTTTTTTTGTTTGGGTTCTATTTTTTACAGTGAATTTGATAATAGTACATGATTAAGCCATGAAAAATGTTACAGTTGAAGAAGAAAATTCCCCTACTTAGAGATGCAAGTTCTTCCAATAATAGAACACAAAGTCATCATCAATTACTGACTTCTGATCAAAAACATCACTGACTATGCATTATTTCCAAATAAAGGTATGATCACATATTTACTCACAGAGCTTTGTTGGAGGCTTTGACCACTGGCAGCAGCCTCAGAAGAGCCTCCTCTGAAGCAGAGTATTTCTTCAGGTCAAACACATCCAGATCTTTTTCTGATGACAGTAAGATGAAGACCAGAGCTGACCACTGAGCAGGAGACAGTTTATCTCTGGAGAGACGTCCTGATCTCAGGGACTGTTGTATCTCCTCCACTAGAGAACCATCATTCAGTTCATTCAGACAGTGAAAAAGATTGATTATTTTCTCTGCAGGCAGACTCTCACTAAGCTTCTTCTTGATGTACTGGACGGTTCCCTGATTGGTCTGTGAGCTACTTCCTGTCTGTGTCAGCAGACCTCGTACGAGAGTCTGATTGGTCTGCAGTGAAAGACCCAGGAGGAAGCGGAGGAACAAGTCCAGGTGTCCATTTGGACTCTGTAAGGCCTTGTCCACAGCACTCTTTTGGAGAGTTTGAAGATTTGATTTGTTAAATAATTTAGACCACATAGAGGTTGTTTGTTGTTCTTCCATCAGATTGAGTCCAGAGTTGATGAAGGTCAGATGGACATGAAGAGCAGCCAGAAACTCCTGAACACTCAGATGGATGAAGCAGAACACCTTGTCCTGGTACAGTCCTCTCTCCTCTTTAAAGATCTGTGTGAACACTCCTGAGTACACTGAGGCTGCTCTGATATCGATGCCACACTCTGTCAGGTCTGATTCATAGAAGATCAGGTTTCCTTTCTGCAGCTGATCAAAAGCCAATTTTCCCAGAGACTCAATTACCTTCCTGTTCTCTGGACTCCAGTGTGGATCTGTCTCATCTCCTCCATCATACTTGACCTTCTTCACTTTGGCCTGAACCACCAGGAAGTGGATGTA